CTGCCTGCTATCAATCTAAATGATGTCCCTGATTCTCCCCCTTAACAATCTGATATTTTCCTTGTTATACTCACTTATCAAAATGTGTATCCAGCCTGGCATGGTAGTGCACACATTTAAATTTACTATAGTAAAAGACATTGCCATTAATCTTCCTCAAGATGCTACCCCCTTACTGCAAACACTCTTATTCCTATTACTCTTCCCACTTTCTGAAACAGTTCTAGAAATCCTCTTTTGGTTGTGCAGCAAGAAGCACAGTGCCAGATCCAGTGATTAAGGTGGATGAGGACACACTGTGGTGTTTTTACAAGCCTGCCTTTCTGTTGGATGACACTCAACAGCAGTATTCACTACATCTGTGACACAAAAGAGGACATCCAGAACTGTTTCAGAAAGCAGCAAGAATAATGGAATAAAAGTGTTTGAAGTGAGGGGAAGTTTAAGGGGGAATACTTTGAGGAGAATTAATGGCAATTTCTTTTACTGTAATAAATTTTTAAATTAAAAAATAACTGCATATTTGATCACACCTAGTGTGTGTACATGTGTATTTGCTAATTTTATATGTTGTCAGTTTCCCTAGGAGGATTTCAAGTTCTATGATGGTATGAGTTATACACCCAGAACTTTGCATAGTATAGCTCATCCAGACAGACAAATATTTATTGGATGAATGAATTTCTATTGCTGCAAGTGCAGGTTTTAACTCTATCTAGTAAGATTATAAATTCGTTTTTTGAGACAAGGTCTTGCTATGTAGTTCAGGTTGGTCTTGAACTCACTACTTAACCCAAGCTAGCCTTGAATTTGAGGTGCTCCTCCTGCTTTAGCCTCTCGGGTGCTGGGATTTTAGGCATGTACCATCACACCTGGCTATAAACGTCTTAAAAATAGATTGTCTAATTAAAGTTTTATTTTCTAAGTCCAGTAGGCAGTATCTCAGGCAGAGTAGGGTACTGTAAATATTCCATAAATATTTATTTAATGAACTTTAGATTAACTAGACTCCACTTTCTCTTGTAATTCATATAGCATATTTCTAAAATAGTTTTTTCATCATTTTTTGTTCTCTGCCAAAAAAGCTATTCACTATTACCCATTTGTCAAATTTAACTATTAAATCTAACTGTAAAGTACATAATATTTCATAATCCTTATAACACAATTAAATACTTTACTATCTCAAATGATTTTTAATCGTTTTATATACGTGCATGCCAGGTGTTTAAAACCAGCTTTGAGGGGCTGTGGATTTAGCTCAGTGACACCATGTTTGCCTGGCAAGTGCAAGGTCCTGAGTTTGATTCCCAGTACCAAAAAAAAAATCAGCTTTGGTAACAGGGTGTATATCTTGTATTTTTGTCTTCCCTTCCTTTGATCACATAAGTGCTCAATGTTAAAAGGAAAAACTCTCATTCAAAATGTGAAATAAGAAACTGACTTTTCTCTGTAGAAGTGGTGTGTTTGACAGCTTATGTGCCTGATCATATTCATATAGTATTTTGAGCAAGGAGGATTAGCTAACTTTCAAAGGTGGGTCAAGGTAGACATCATCCTCAGAAACACAGTTACTCTGGTGAGAAGACCACTGATGATTGGCTGACTTTCAGAGATGAGTTCACTAGAGTGGAACTGTTTGTATGTTTGGCTGACTTTTAAAAAGTGTTAAGTTGTCATTGATAGGCTGCTTTTTAGAGGCTGTTTCCTAAGTTGACTTGCCACTGATCTGTTAGTTGAAATTACTTCTACTTGTACCATAGATATAGAATTATCTTTCCCTAAGAACATATATAACTTTAAACATTTATCCATGAATATTGATGAGCACATCAAATGCAAGAGAAGAGATTTAGTGGAGGTTTACTGTGGGCTAGAGTAGCTCTGCTCTGCTGTTTGACCATTCAAAGGGGATCATGTCCATCTTTTTTTCTTCTTGTCCAGGCATCTCTCATGTTCATTCTCACCAAACAGGTGATTAGGTTAGATAGTAACATGAAGTATCTTTTCGTGGCAAACAAATATCAAATTTAAGAAAATGCTAGACACCACTGCCATTGTTTAATGTTTTGTCAGCCAAAGGTTCATGTGCTGGAGTTTTGGAACCCACTGCAACAGTATTGAGAGGTGATGGAACCTTCAACAGGTGGGGCTCAGTAGGAGGTGATTAGGTCATTGAGGCCACCACCCTTGGAAGGGATACATTTCTTTTCCTTATAATGTACCCTAAGGTATTTTACTGTAGCAACACTAAAGGGACTGACACAATCACAAACATCATAAAATTCAGAAAAGGAGCATAATAATGTTACTAATTAACTGCCTGACACACTTCTGTATTCTTTTTCTTTCCTTACATTTGTTTACACCTCATACTCTGTCTCTTCATATGATAACAATTTGTTAACAATTTTCTATAGAAAAGATTAAAAATTTAGCTTCTTCCGCTAGTGTTTATTATAACTTTTAGAGTTCAGGGAGCCAGGTGTGGTAGCACATGACTGCAATCCCAGGACTCAGGAGGCTGAGGCAAGAGGATCACTGTTAAGGTTGAGCTCAGCCTGGGCTACACAGGGAATTAAGGCTACCCAGAACTACATAGAGAGACCTTGCCTCAAAAAAGCAAAACCAAAAAACCAAAAAATTTCAGGGCATATCAGGTTTCTTCAGATATATTATATTCTTCAATCTGTGGTGAGTGCTCATTAAATTCTAACAGAAAAGAACTTCTTTTTGTGGTTTAGCATTGATAAATGTTAAATCTTTAAAATTACATATCTAATAATTGGAGGCTTTTCTCACAGATTAGCCTCAGGCTCTCTAAATATCAACCTGCTTCTCCTTTACTATGTGCACATTTTTATTTGTTATTTTTGCAGTGATGGGGCCTGAAATAAAGGCATCATGCATGGTAGGAAATCACTGTACCATTAAGCCACATCCCCAGTCCACATACATATATATATATATATATATATAT